AATACCACCAGCTATAGAGGACTACAAATCCCAGCAATAGTACATTATAGCTGGTGGAATTCCACATTGCGCTGTATAATGTATTATTGCTGGGATTTGTAGTCCTCTATAGCCGGTGCCATTCTGCATTGATTGCTGTATAATTTTACACTTTCCATTTCACTATATTGCACACCACACTATTTGTTTCTTATTTCCACCGCTCCAAGCTTGCTCCTGTGATGGACTACAATCTCAATACAAACTAGTAGTCCATCACTGGAGCCTTTTGTTTTGGAGCAGAGAGTCCGCACTGACCACCTGCACACACATGCACCCATGAAACTCTCTGGACCACTGGTGAGAGCCCGCACAACCCTCCTGAGACCCTTTAGACATCAGGCGGAAAACCCAGAGCAACAGAGTATGTCACTTCATATTATTCTGCATTGCTGTGTAATGTATTGATGGGATTTGTAGTCCTCTATCGCTGATGCTGTTCTGCATTGCTGTATAATGGTATTGCTGTGATTTATAGTCCGCTATAGCTGATGGTATTTTGCATTGTTGTGTAATGTATTTCTTGGAATGGTAGTTCTCTATAGCCAATGCCATTCTGCAATGCTGTACAACGTATTTCTGAGTCAGTGGCAGAACTACCAGGGTCGCAGCAGTCATGCACGCGCACAGCACTGACGTGGCATCCCTCCACTACCAGTGTGCTTTACATTTCCTAAACCGATAAATACATTCACACTACTGTTACAAGGATGGCAAAAGTGGCAGACGGGGGCGGGGAGAATGCGGGGAAGAGGCAGAGTGGGAGGGGGGGGCAAGTTGCCGCACCATGGGCCTCTGGGTTGTACTTGCCCCCTGGGCTAAAAGTTGCCAGTCAGCCCCTGGTGTCGGATCAGACCATTATTTCAATGTAACATGGAAATTCTATAGCCAGCAGTACATACAGAGAACAGATCCTCCATTTCAGTTCATATACAAGGCTCGGCGATCTTCCCCTGCTGTCACCATATGGATTGTCACAGTGATCCCTCCGCTTCACGCTCCAGCGCCCAGCCAAGAAGCCACTGCCCCATACAGGTGTTCATTCCTTCCGTGCCTTTGCAGCGTGAGCGGCAGACTGATAAACCAATCACCGTGCAAGTTGCATGCGGCTCATCCAATCAGCAACAGGTGAGCGCCTTTGCTATGGAACGTTAGCGCTGCTGTGTTATGCGCTTATCGCTGCTTCTATGAATGGGGCCGATTGGTGCGCTGTGAATGGGGCTGATCGCTGCGCTCCCTCTTTGCAGTCCTCGTCTTATAGATTGACAATGGCCAGTGAAGCTCGAGGAATGGAACGCTAGCGGTCGCTGTGCTCGCCCAGGCATCGATCGGTATACTCACATGTCCTCGGGGTCTTCTGCAAAACAAGCCGATAAGCTTTCCATAGAGAGCACATCGTACGGTACTGGCCATGGCTAGGAGATCGGCAGTCAATGTCAGTGGGGAGGACTTCTCCTTCGTTAGCCCTGTGGTCAAGTACCTGCTGTTCTTCTTTAACATGCTCTTCTGGGTAAGTTGCCTTTTTGTGCTGTATCAGCTCCCAGTTTGTGTCGTACCATCTCCCAGTTTGTGTCGTACCATCTCCCATTTTTTGTCGTACCAGCTCCCAGTTTGTGTCGTACCAGCTCCCAGTTTGTGTCGTACCAGCTCCCAGTTTGTGTTATATTTGTACATGACGTGCCACTTGGGGCACGGGTCCCATTCCGTGCATTCCTAGGCAAAGGTCGCTGGGTGTCACAGACACTGGCTGTGTGAGCTAAGGATGATGATGATGATGTCCTATTGGGGATCGATCTATCCCTGCTAATAATAAGACTCAAGTGATGGGTGCTGCTGTGTCACTGTCTATAGGGTGGGGACAATTGGATCGTCTTCACACTGTTTTCATAGCTTGTCTCTGCAGTGATTGAACATTTCTTTGGAATTGGCTGTGTAACAAGTGGTTTATCCAGGATGTAGCAACATAGATCTTGTTAAAGTGTATCCAGACCCAGGAGCAGAAATGTAAAATAGTGCAGTATATATACTATATACCACTATAGATGTGGTGGTTGTGTTAGCATTTTGCTGTAGGCTTTTTTTTATTCCTTTACGTCTACTAAAGCTGGCTATACACAAGTTTTTTTCTGTTTCAGGCCAAGAAAGTGCTCAATTTCCCCCATTAATGCTAAACAGCATGGATAGGGGAATCTCCCCTGCCAGCAGGTGTGCCGCTCTCTGAATACCTGGGCAGCACCTGCAGCTGAATGGCTGCAGTCACTGTTCTTTTTTTGTTTAGCAGAGGGGTGCTGGGAGGGCCACCCATGGATCAAATATCAGTTTTTGGGTATTTTAACACACCTCCTATTTTAAGCCAGGTATACAAGTATATATTTTCTTCATTCAACCTGCGGGATAAACAAAGAAAATAGAACATATTCCTCCGTCAAAACACTTACAAGCTTTGATCGAGAAATACCCTGCTATGTGCATTGTATTCTGACAGTGGGTACTCTCCGCTGTCAGAATACTCAAATGCAATCTACAGCTGATTGGTTGCCAACTCCGTTTGGCCAAGAATTTTCCCAACGGGCTACTAGGACCAGCTGATTAAGGCATGTCGGCTGGAAGGGTGCAAACCCACTGTTCATCAGGAACCTGACAAAATTCAATACGTGTACCCAACTTTAGGGTGGCTACAGTCACTCCTTCACTGTATCTATGGAAGAGAAGCATGGGCAGCCTTGGACAGCAGCATCGTCGTCAATGGAGAGGGAAGTGTTAGATGGACTATTAGACTATTAGATTTAGATGGATTTAAGATAATTAACTAATAAATTAAAGCCTAACTTTAGCTAACAACAGAAAGTACAGCAACAGTTTATTTCATTTTTGTGGGATCAGGCAAGGAAAAATCCATCACACAAGTATCCTAAACATAAACAAGCATTTAACCCTTGCAGTGCAGGGGCAGTTTGACTACAATGTCTTAAGCTGCCAGTCAAAACGTGTTTCTTCATGTGTGTGCATCTTCATGTGTAAAACGTGCATAAACATGCAAAAAAAGCTAGCTGAACCCGCACATACAAACGTGCATAAATTATAACGCCTTTTTGTGAGCGGGGCCTTAATGTTAGTGACTGACAAATCAACAATATTAAAGGAAGGAGGGGGTGCACAAGATACATTAGGTAAGAGAGATGGCAGTGGCTGCAGGTGATGGAAGTTACTAATTAACAAATATATGTAATTAGGTGACTGAAGTTGGTTACTTGGAATTTGGTTACTTGGTAATGAATGACTGGGGTAAAGAGGGAGGTGGGGGGTAGGTAATGAAAGGTTGAAGTTGGGGTCTAGTCTAATCGAATAAGGCCAGACTGGGGTCAGCACAAGAGATGTTACCCATGCATGTGCTAATGAATGAGGACATTAGTATCACAGTGACATAGAGGGCAATTTGAAATGTGTTCGTGAATGAGATCAGAATTATGATGACATTAGTTATAAAGTCATTCAAAGGCAAACTGCAGTGCCTAGAATTTTAATCTGAAGCTTACTGAAATTAAGTGGCAGGTTGACAACAAGGGATTCTCAAAGTACTATTGATAACAGCAGATGTTATCTTTGTGCCCCATTGTATCTAGGAATGTGGGTGTTAGAAGAATAAAACATAATTCAGTAGTTAGTCAGATGACCAATGCCAGAGGTGCTTCCTGTTGGTGGGACTTTGGATGATGTCCCAGTATCAGCTTTGGGGGTTCTTAATTACCAAATGCCAGGGGTGCTTCCTGTTTGTGGGTCATTGGGTGATGTTTCAGAATCAGTTTAGGGGGTTCTTGATGACCAATGCCAGGGTTTTCTTTCCTGTTAGTGGGACCCTGGATGATGTCCTAGAATCAGTTTTGGAGGCTATTGATGACCAATGCCAAGGGTGCCTCCAGTTGGTGGGACCCTGGATGATGTTCCAGGATTAGTTTTGGAAGATAGTCAGTTTATTTTTTAAATAAAATGTTGTTCAAACACAGCATGGGTCCAGAACAATAAACAATTAAAACCTGGGGCCTCACTATAAAAATGATGTAGCACCCCTACTCTAGTATAGAGAGAAAAAACATTTGGTACATTAGAGTCAGTTTGCTAAAATCTGAGTCTGTTGATATTTTTTGATTCTTAGTATACACCGATCAGCCATAACATTTTGACCACCCACCTAATAATGAGTAGGTCCCCTTTTTGCTCCCAATGAACGAGACCTTTTTTCAGTTGTTGCACCCTTTACAAGTATGCAAAATCTCGAGGCACCCCATTTTAAAATGTAAAATATGTAAATGTAAAAAACAATGTGTGGCCCCTCCAAAATCCATACCAGAGCCTTATCCCAGATAGGGGTCTGGTATGGCAGGACCACATGGAAAAAAAACACAAACAATTGTTATTCCCACTTCAAATCAAAAGACCCCCTTCACATCAGTGCCCCCCTCCCCCCTTTCACATCAGAATCTGACCTTTCACATCAGAGCCCTCCCTTTACATTAGGAGCCCCTTCCTTTCTCATCAGACCCCCCTCCCTTCACACCAGAGCCCCTTCACATCAAGAGCCCCCTCCTTCTGCACCAGAGCACCCCTCTCACAGCAGGGGCCCCTGTTTACATCACAAGCCTGCCTTTCACATCAGAATCCCCCTCCCACAGTAGGAACCCCTTCACAACACAGGGCCACTCTTGACATCAGAATCCCCCCTTTCAGATGAAAGTTCCCCCTTAACATCAGAGCCCCCCTTTCATATCAAAGACTCCCATTTCACATCAGAGTTACCTCCATGGAAAGGCATGACACTATGTGAAAATTTTGAGGCATCCCTGAGGAAGGCAGAAGGCGTCCCAGGGTGCCACAGAACACTGGTTGAGAAAGGCTTCCTTAAACCAGTCTTGAACCATTTTTGCAGTGTGACCAGGTGCATTATCTTGCTGAAAGAGGCCACTGCCATCAGGGAATACCATTTCCAAAGGGTGTACTTGATCAGCAAAAATGTTTAAGTAGGTGGTACATGTCAAAGTAACATCCACATGAATGGCAGGGCCCAAGGTTTTGCAGCAGAACATTGCCCAAAGTATTACAATGCACCTGCTGGCTTGCCTTCTTCCACTAGTGCATCCTGCTGGCATCTCTGCCCCAGGTAAGCAACACACATGCACCCGGCCATCCATATGATATAAAAGAAATTGTGATTCATCACACCAGGCCACCTTCTTCCATTGCTCCATGGTCCAGTTCTGATGCTCACGTGCCCATTGAAGGCGTTTTTGGCGGTGAACACATGGCGGGTCAGCATGGGCAGCCTGGCTGATCTGCAGCTTTGCAGCCCCATATGCAATGTGTTAAGACACCTTTCTATCATAACCAGCATTAACTTTTTCAGCAATTTGAGCTACATTCGCTCTTCTATTGGATCAGATTACACGGGCTAGGCTTCGCTCCCCACCTGCATTTTTCTGCTTCCAACACATCAACTACAGAGAAAATGTTCACTTGCTGCCTAATATATTGCACCCACTTCCAGGTGCAATTGTAACAAGATAATCAATGTTATCCATTTCACCTCTCAGTGGTCATAATGACCATGTTCCCATGTTCTACATTTCCTGAAATTGTTCAGTTTACATGATTTTTCTAGATAAATAATATCATAAAAAAATACATTGATAACATTAATACAGATTGTAAATTTAGCTGATCTGTGCAATAAAACCTTCAGTGGATCATGTTTGATCCTTCAAATAAGAAAATAACTGATGATAAAAAACACCATGTGGTAAGATGAATTGACCCTATTGGAGAAACTTTGCAAGCAATAACAACCTTTTTTGGCAAATATACAAGCTTGTCACATGTTCTACTACATTTGCTAAACCTGATTATTACTTGATTTGGCTGAATTGCTTGCAGATAAGGGTGTCCTAGCATGGAACAACATGTAGTGTAAATGTTGGTCCAATAATCCATTTTTAGAGATCGTATTGTTATTGCACAGCATTGTCTAAGTACTAAGAAGGAGTTTTCATTTTATTTCCTACAGTATTCTATACTTGGTGGGGTTGCTTTTATTTCCCTGTAAAATTGGGTGAGAAGGTGTGAGGTTTCCAAATTGACTTGGTCTGGAAAGGGCAGTGCCATTGTGTTTCTGTTAGAGGAGCAGGCTGAAGAGTCGTGTTAAAGCCCCTTAGGAATGTTTCAAGCTCTTTAGTGGTTGTTAGAGAACTTAGAACGCTATCAAATGAACAATCATGGGTAGCGGTGTAAGTGATACCCATGTGATCTCTACAGCTGCTCACTGACTTGTTCTTACTCCCTAGAGTCCATATTTTATTCTCTTAGCTGTAGCATTGATGGAAGTTGAGGCATATTCAGGTCACTTTTTTTAAAATAACTATTATGCAATTTTATTAACATTATCAACTGTCCTGTGCAGTATTGTAGATACATATGGGATACATATGGGATACATATCTACATATGGGATTGTCATATTAT